AGATGGAGAAGAGGGGAGAAGTCCTGCACTTGGGACACTGCCTGTGAGCGACAGGTAGGAAGAGATTCTTGGGGAGCCACTGATCGCCCAGAGACATAGGAGCCTCTAAGGGGCAGTGATGTGGCAGGGGGCTCAGCTCTGGGGCTCTGAGACTCTGGTACTGAGAGGCCAGGACAGCATTTGCAGGGAGAAGAGGAAGAGAGGTGTGCAGCCTTCCTAAAGATCCCCTTTCTATCCCGCGCAGCCCCTGGGAAGGAAACACATAATGACCCACCCCGCTCCTCCACCACTCCCCTCAGAAGACCCAGCAGGCCATTTGCAGGAGGGCCCATCACACAATGTGATTGTTGGCTTCGCAGGGACTTTCCCAAACAACCAGGTGGAAGATAAGGTTGGAGGAGAGGCGGGGGTTGAGAGCTAGCCCACAGCTCAGCCTGAGGGCCCAAGCAAGCTCCCCTCGTCCCCCAGAGCACCCCCAGCCCCTCAATCCATCCTCTGCCCTGCTAGCCTGGAGCCAGGCCCTCCAGGGAGGGAGCAGGCGGCCGGGGAGTTTGGGCACACAGAGAAAAAGAAGGGACTGGAAGGGAAGGAGTCTAGTCACACAGAGGTGGGGAAGGAAAGAGAAGGAACAGAAAGACACAGACCCTGCTCTGCGGTTCTCCGTTGTCATCAGGGAGCAGGGGGTAGGCTGGGCCTGGGGTGGTGGAAGAAGGGGGAAGATGGGGCACTTGCACACCCCGGCAGAGCTTGCCACAATACAGAGGCTCAATACAGAGTTTCCAGGCGGGGCTGCCGGCAGTGCAGGGGTCAGCTGGAGGGAGACACAGTCACATTTCAGAACATCGAGTCCTTGTTGGGTGCTGACTCCCACCAGATTTCCCATAATGTTACCTCACGTGTCCCAAGAGCCCATAAGAAGCCACTGTCAGGACAGAAGAACTGCACCACGACATCAGCCTTGGGCACCTGCCATGTGTGGCCAGGGTGCTGGAGGCATCCAGGGTGGACCCTCCCTCCCCACAAGGGCTGGCTCTTCTTGCTCCCCTCTACCCCACCCAACTGCCAGCATACCCTGTCCCCAGGAGTTCCCATTCTACCACATCCCCGCCTTTCTTGTGATCTCTACTAGCAATGCTTAAGGATTTTTTTCCCCCAATAAGCACTGCAGAAAACCTATTAGGGAACAAAGCTACGTTCGGAAATTCCAGTGGACCTCACAGGGTTCTCTGAACATCTATTGGCCCTCCCATGCAAAGTAAAACAGGGCTAGCCCTGCTTCCCTATGTGGACTCCGTCTTGGGGCACCAAGGGCCCTCCCAGAGCAAGACCAAATGCCTGACTAGGCCCTGCTGCAAAGTGACTCGTCTCCCCCAGCTTTCTCCAGAACCTGGCTCCTGGTCTTCACTCTGGCCTCCTGGGGCCTTTACATAAGGGAGGCCCTTCCCACGGGCCTCAGGGATCCAGCAGGCACTGGTTGCCATCTGGGGTCTGCAGCTCTAGGAGGCAAGACATCTCCAGGAGCAGACCCTGCTGTAGCGGAGGAGGAACCCCGTGCCTGTGTATTGTGATTCTATAAGCAGCTGCCTTGTTGCTTTTACTGTCACAATAGTGCAGCAAAAACCTTATATCCGTGTTGTGGTGCGTGTCTGGGTCCCTGTGTAGGACACATTCCTAGAAGTAGCTCAGGTGGGTTAGAAGGTTTGCACCCCAGGACGCCTGGGTGACTCAGCGGTTGAGCATCTGCCTTCGGCCCAGGGCGTGACCCTGGGGTCCCAGGATTGAGTCCCACATCGGGCTCCCCACAGGGAGCCTGTTTCTCCCTCTGCCTGTGTCTCTGCCTTGATCTCTGCATCTCTCATGAATAAGTAGAGAAAATCTTAAAAGAAAAAGAAAGAAAGAAAGAAAGAAAGAAAGAAAGAAAGAAAGAAAGAAAGAAAGAAAGAAAGAAAAGAAGAAAGAAGGCCCACATCCTTGTGGCACCGACAGTGGTCACCGAATCTCAGTCAGGAGCCTGATGCCAACTTCCATTTCCACACTGACCACTGTTTTGTGCCACGTGCCCCTCATGCGTGCCCTCCGAGCAGGTGCACGAGGGCAGCCTGCGGATGAGCGCCCCAGGGCCAGCGCTTCCGCGCCCTCAGGCCCTCCCGGCTGGGCAGGGGCCCTCTGCACCTCCCACAGCCCTGGGACGGCCCTGGTGGCACTTGCCATCCATCGGGAGGGAGACAGCCTGGCCAGGCGAGAGCTGACGTGTCAGGGGCCGGCTGTGGGGCAGCCAGGAGTAGGCCCGGGGTGGGGGAGGAGCAGCGGGGCAGAGGCTGGCCGAGGAGGCCCAGCTGCGAGGGGACATTTGGGCAGAGCCCCGGACGAAGCGCAAGTGAGGGTCACAGGTCTGTGCTGGCTGAGGATGCCGGTGCGGGAGCACAGGGCCCAGGACTCAGAACTGTGTCGCTGAGGGGAGCAGGCACGCCAGTGGCCTCAACGCCTATCGCTTGGTGTTGCTGGCACACTGCCTGCCCTGGATTGTCCCCTGCGCTCCACCGGCTTGAGCTCATCCAGGACTACCTCTGTTCCCTCATCCCAAAGTCATCTCTGCGTGCGTGACTGCTGCCAGCCCAGTTCTGACAGACGCGAAGGGAAGGAGGCCCGGTCTCTGGCCGGTACGACCAGCCTGCCCCGTCCCCCAGCCTCCCAGGGCCTCGGTGTTCTGCACATCACAAAGCCCGCCCTGAATCTCCCTTCAGCTCTCTCAAGGTGAATGTTTGGGACTCCTCCCAGGGCGGGCAGATGGGTGCAACACCACAGGAGACGGGAAGAGGTAAGGAGGACGGGCAGAATTCGGATTCCAAGCTCCAGCAGGAGGGGTCCGGTTGTGATTTCACCTCTGCTTGAACACGTCACACCTGAGTCAAAAACCTTGACCTTCTCATTCGGGGAACAGGGATGCTCACTCACAAAGCGCCTTCCTCGTGGACTCTCCTAACCCTCCACCCTTCGTTTATTTATTTTTTTTTTATCTTACTTATTTATTCAGAGAGAGAGACAGAGAGAGAGAGGCAGAGGGAGAAGCAGGCTCCATGCAGGGAGCCTGATGTGGGACTCGATCCCAGGTCTCCAGGATCACACCCCAGGCTGCAGGCGGCGCCAAACCGCTGCGCCACCAGGGCTGCCCTCCACCCTTCCTTTAAAACCAGCAAACATAAAGAAAATACAACCACGCATGAATTATACCGACCCACAGGGAGTGAATCCTGACTGGCCAGGAGCCAGGCTAGGTGTTAAGGTGGCAGTGGCAGATACGAACACGGCCCCATCCCGGCCTTCAGGAAGCAGGCAGCTCACACTGGAAAATGTCTTTCCACTTGTGTGGAATGCCGGGCCCATGGGAAAGCCAGGGGATGAGAAGTGGGAAGGGGCACCAGGGGCTGGGGTGATCCAGAGGCTCTAAGGAAAGGATAGGCCCTGAATGGTGGGCAGGTATGGAGAGATCCAGCAGAGGAACAGGTCGCCTGTGGCAGATGATCTAAACACAGGGTTGTCCTGTGGACTTGATGATCGCCGTGGCAGGGGGATTGTGGTGGTCGCCAACCCCGGGGGGCTCAAGAGAAGCAGCACCGGCCAGTCAAGGAGACAGAAGAGTTGGTCAGCCGGGCGTGTGGAGAGCAAGACCATAGACCGTAGAGCTTCTCCAAAGCTGTGCCTCAGGAAAGTTTCTACTGGGAATTAAAATGGGGGGGGGGGGGGGAAGAATTTCATGAAAAAGCAGAAAATAGCAAATACTGGTGAGGATGTGGAAACATCAGAACCCTCGGACGCAGCTAGAGGAGATGTAAAAGAGACGTGGTGCAGCCACTGCAGTTTGTCAAGTCCCCAAAATGCTCACTGTGGAGTTACCGTGTGACCCAGCCATTCTCCTCCTGGTGAAGTCCCCCCTTGGAACATCGAAAATATGTGCCCCTACAAAAACTTGCACACGAGTGACCGCAGCAGCAGCACTCCCGCTCACCAGAACCATGGAAACAGCCCATATGTCCTCAGCTGCTGAATGGACCAACAGAACGTGAAATATCATTCAGCCGTGAGGAGGAACGAAGAACTGGCCCACGTGACCCCGGGGTCATCTTTTAAGAAGCCACGTTCAGCGGAAGAAGCCAGTCACAAAAGACCACATGGTGTGTGATACCGTTTGGGTGAAATGTCCAGAATAGGCAAATCCACAGAGATGGAGGCGCTTAGGGGTTGCCAGGGGCTGGAGGGAGAAGGAAGCAATGGCTAGTGGGTGCATAGTTCTTCAGGAGTGGGGGCGATGGAAATGCTCCCGAGTTGGGTAATGCTGATGATCCCATCACCTCATGAAATATATTGAAAGTCACTGGGTCGTGTACTTAAATATGGCTAATTGGATGTTGCGTGGACTTGCATCTCAGTTGAGAGAGAGAACGAACGAGGCTGAGAGACATGGGGACGGGCCATGGCCAGTCCCAGCGCTGAGCATCCCAGTCAGGAAGCAATCGCAGCCTCTGGGTGAATCAGCACAGCCGTGGTTTTGCAGACGAGCACTCTGATTTCTGGAAGTCCTCGTCTAGCCCAGGGGTGCCTGAGACCATGGTTGAGCCTCCTTGACCCATCCTCAGGCAGTCTTTCTCCTCAGTGCGTATCCCCAAGGATTTTCGCTGGCCGGTTGTTACAGTTGAGGATCCCAGCGTATTGACCACTGCCTTCAGACCTGCCCGCAGCCTTGTGCGGCCGGGACCCCTAACCCAGCCTTGGGCTCCCAGGCTTCTGGACACAGTGGTCCTCCAGCTGCCCAAATCCTGCCAGAGAAATCACTGTGTCCTTGCTGCCCTCCAACCTCCATGGGCTCTCCTGGCCCTCCCCTCCTGCGCGTCTGTTCCTGGCCGCATCAGGGCTGGGGCTGCAGGGGAGAGGAGGCCCAGCTGCAGTGCCTGGGAGCTAGCAAGCGGCCCCTCAATCATGTTCTCTGCCCCTCTCTCCTACAGCTCTTGCAATCTCAGGACGTGAAGGAAGATGCTGTCCTGTGCTGCTCGATGGAGGTAGGCATCTCTGACCCCAGACCCAGTGAGCCCCTCACACCTTCCAGTTGGGGCGGGGGGTGAGGATCCCTGGGTGTACCTACAAGTCCCAGGCAAGGGTGCGGAGACAGGGCTGGTGGGGAATGGCTTCCTGAGATGACATGGATCCAGAATTGTCAACCCAAAACCAAAGTCCATGTTGACAGACTGACCTGCCCACCACTAGCTGGAGGGAGAGATGAAGGACCAAGCACTGGCATCGTACACTGTCCTTCTGTCCCCAAGACCCACTTTCTCCTTATACCAGTCACACCACACAAATGACCTAAGAGATTCCTAGTGGCCCCCATACTCAAATGTCTCTCTGGGCTTTGCTGATGTGGGATCTGGGGGAAGATGCCTGAGGCCCAAATCCCCCACGTGGATGCCCTCTGCTTCAAAGCACCTCCTTCGGAGATGCCACTCCTGTTTCCAAAGTCTGGCCACTACTCCTTGAAGATTGAAGCGTTCCTCTGGGACGCTCCTCAGGGGCAAACCTTGCTCTGGGGAATCAGCCCAGTCGGTTAGCACGGAGGACAGTGGAGACAGGTGCTTCCAACCCAAGCACCCAGGGCGTTTCCCGGCCGTGTGAGCGCACTTCTCGCGTGGCCTCTGCTGGCCTCCAAGGCCACTCCCAAGGATCTCAGTGGCCAGAGGTACTGTGAGTCTGGACAATAGCCTCGGGTCTGACAATAGCCTTGGGTCTGGGGGATGGCCACCATTCATTTGTGGAGACATGGGACTTGGTGACAGGGAGATAGGGTTAAGGCATAGCCCCTGCACTCAAATAGCTTCTGCTCTGCCTGGGGATAGATAACACGGTGTAGAGCCTCCATCCCTGAGGAGTCCGAGGAGAGGGATCGGGGGTCCCAGAAGGTCCACCTTTATGGAGAATGCAGGGTCTTGAAAAAATGATGAGACAGGGACAGCACAGAGATGAAGACTGAGATAATGTGTGGAGGCCCTACGGGGGCTGCTGCCCAAGGGTGCGCTGAACCGACTCCTGGGACTCCTTCTTCCCTACGGCGGATTTTCAGCGTCATCAGGGTCCTCTGTCGAGGGCGGGCCCTCCGGCTGGCCTTCTGCCCCAGTTCACATTTCTGTCCTGTACTTCATGTCACAAGTGTGGGCAGAGGTCAGTGCTGGGGTGGAGAGTGGGATGAGGGGCAGGGAGAAATGGGAGACCTCACCTCTGCTCTCAGGTTCCGTGCAGAGACACACATGATAATGAGCAGGCTGGTCTCCAGAGAGAGGCCCTAGCAGTGAGATTAACAAGGTGCAGCCTGGTCACCCTTGAGGGGATGGGGAAGGCTTCCCGTAGGAGGGGAAGCTCTAGGGTGAAAGAAGTGGCATGGTCCGGGTCAGGGCTCTCCTCAGCCCCGGGCAGCTGGCAGTAACCTCATCCGCCTTATTCCTGCAGCAGATGGGTCGGTAAATGGGGGCTTCCACCCATCCGCCCACCCTCCCATGGCACACAGATGCCTGGCCTCTACCTTCCAGAGAGAATCCAGTTGCTTCCCGTCCCTGCCCCCAGCCCTCCCAACCAGGGTGGCGAGGGGGGCCGTTCCCCCGGCCTGAGTCCTGCCCTAGCCTGCGCTTCTCTGCCCACAGCTGCAGAGCACAGGCCGGCTGCTGGAGGAGCAGCTGCCCGAGATGATGACCGAGCTCCTGGCCAGCGCCCGCGACAAGATGCTGTGCCCCTCGGAGTCGATGCTGACGCGGTCGCTGCTGCTGGAGGTCATCGAGCTCCATGCCAACAGCTGGAACCCTCTGACGCCCCCCATCACGCAGTACTACAACAGAACCATCCAGAAACTGACAGCCTGACAGCCAGGGGGCCTGGCGGGCGGCCCGCGGGCAGCTGGGGCCCTGGTACACGGGGCCAGATGGACAGGCGGGAGGACAGGGGTGGCCCTGGCGGGAGAAAGAAATGGGGAGGAAGCAGGCAGTGCCGGCGGCCGGTCTGGAGCCAGACAGGGCAGGAGGAGCGCCCCTCACCCGAGCCCCACCAGCCCCAAGCATGTGGCAGCTCACGCCAATAAGGGAAGCATGTTTCTTTCTCGCGGTGGCCTCACCCGGTCCCCGCCCGGGCCCCGCCCCCCCCTCCCAGCCTGCGCGTCCCCCCCACCCCCAGTCCCCCACAGGGCTTTGTGCGGGGAGGGGGGGGTGTTCATCTCCATGACTCCTTGCCCCCCCCCGCCCCCCTCCCCGCGGCGGAGCCCGCCGGTACCGCCTGGGTCAGAGAGGACCTCAGAAGGCTGAAAAAGTGGGTCGGAGACGGGCTCGCATTGTTCTTGCTGTCAGCCGCCGTCGCCAACTGGCAGCAGGCGACGTCGAGCAGATGTCCGGGAGGACAAAGGCAGGCACGGTCCCTACCAGCCGCCCGTAATTGAAGGCCTTTGTCCGCCAGGGTCGAGCCCGGGGCCGGGGGCTTCTCTGCCCCTCACGCCACACCCTCCTCGCTTCCAGGTCCTGTTCCATGTGCCCCCCATCCCCTGCCCCCGGCCCTGTCCCCAGCCTCGGGCCCCAGGGTGCAGTGCGGGGAGGGGAACTGGGGTTGGCGGCTCTCCTTGTCCTCTCGGGTTCAATGGTTTTATTTTCGAAAGTCAGCTGCTCTGAAGTCTCCTCTCTCAAGGAGATGTGATGACACAGTCAGCGCCACCAGGACCCCCTGATTAGTAGGACATCAGACCCGGCCCCTTCTAGAAGATCCTAGCCACAGACGGCGTGCCAGTAGCCAATTAGGGTAATTGGAAACTTCTGACCCAGCAGGAATCCCGCTGGAGCCCTGTGCTCCTCAGCCCTTGGCTTCCAGCTACCTTCCTCTAGCTGTGCTCTGTCAAAGGGCTGGGACTGTCGTGGGGCCCCAGGGGTACGTTAAACCTCCCACCCCCGCCTGGCCTGGGGTGGGAGTGGGGGGCATGTGAATGGGGCACAGGGCAAGGCCGGCAAATGAAAACCAAAACGCTAGGTGATGCTGCCCGCATCACACACGGGTCTGGTCCAAGCTTGGTGGGGGGACAGTTGCCATGGGGGGCTGCCTGGCACCCCCTGGACGTGGAGCTTAGCTACAGGGGCTGTGTCGCTGGCCTCGCCTCCTCCAGGAGGGATCTGGAGGCTGAGGCCCCCCACAGCTGGGCGGTGGGTGCTCCATGAGGGCTCTGGGCCCTGCAGCCCCGGGCTGTGGGCCACGGTGCATTCACTGAGTCAGGAGCAGGACAGAGGGGACCAGGCAAGGCCGCCAGATACTCCAAACTCCAGGCTGGGAGCAAGACCAGCGTTTCTTGGAAGGGCCAGGTCCTAAGGAAAACCCTTTCTCTGTGGGAGGAGGGTACAAGGCAGGCTCTAGGAGGATGGCTTTGGGGTTGGCACAGGCCTCTGCCCAGCCCCGGCTCTGGGGTCTGGACCCCAGCCTTGATAAAATTCCATAAAAAAGGCGTCAGAACCCTGCAGCTTCCCTTCTGGAGGCCGGTCACTCCCTGAGTCACTGGAGGGCCCTGGCTGCCTCGTCCACTTGGGCAGCCAGGGGGTAGGGGCTGGAGGTGTCCTTTTGGGGACACCACTTCTGGGAGAGCAGGCAGGGTGGGGCAGGGAGCAGGCCCCCAGTCCGCCCTGGCTTCCCCCACCAGCTGCAACCTGCCTGCCAGCCCCGGGGTTGGGAGCCTACTGGCCCCAAGGGACACGTCGGGGGGACACAGGTTTCCCTGGAGCGGCTCTGGAGCCTCTGCCAAGAGGCCTATGCTGGCCGGGCCCCTGGCCTTCGCCTCTTCCCCTCCTCGACTTCTCCTCACAGACTTTCCCCCCTCAGCAGGCCCTTCAGCCCAGCCTGGGCCCAGGGACACCAGGGGCTCTGCGGGAGGCAGGGGGAAGAGCTAGACTGAGGCTCGAGGGCTCAGACAGGGCCCCGGGGACCTAACTCGCAGCCTCGAGTAGTCAGGCCACCCCGCCCAGGCCACCTTGCTGGCAGCCCTCAAAGAACCGTGCATGTGGGCTGACATGGGCCTAGCTCCCCGTGGGTGCCGGTGCGAGTGTGTGTGTGCCTGTGTGTGTGTGTGTGTGTGTGTGTGTGTGAGCACATCTGCTGAGAACAAAGCAGGGCCCTAGAGGAAACAAGAGGCCCAGGGGAATGGGGTCTGCTGCCCTTTCCGTGGGGCCAAGAGCGAGCATGCAGGGGTTGATGCTCCCTGCAGACCAAGACTGCAGCCCTCAGGCCACTGCGTCCTCACGCCCCTTCCTCCTGACGGCCTCCTCAGTGGTCCTGCCCCATGGCCACCCCTCCTTGACTGTTAGGACCAGAGTATGAAGAAGTAAGATATAAATATGTATACATATATAAATATATTTTTAATTACGTGTCGTGTCACAGTGGCTCCAGACGTACGGTTTGCCGAGTTTATCCCACTGCTTGAAAGTGCTTCCTGGCCAATCCAAATAACAATTTAAGCTGTTTTTCTAAATGCAGGTTGCTGCTACTCTTTGGGATATGGAAGGAAAACGTTTAAAAAAAATTTTTTTTAAAGGAAATAACAGTAAAGTTTAAAATCTGTGACTCTGAGGCCGTCTCCCAAGGGAGACCACTCAGACAGGAACCCAGGGGCAGACCCCAGCCCCTCCCCGGGCCAGACACCCCCTTCGGCTGAGCAAGGAAGGCCATATCCAAGTTGACCTCTGAATGTACTCGATGGGAGGCAAAACTGGATATTGCATTTCTGAGGCTGGCCCCGCGGCTTTCTTGGCGCAGTGAGGAGGCGAGGTCGGCCATCTGATGTTGATCCTGTCTCCGTCTGTCCCCCCTGCCGGTCAAGACCAGATCGTCATTGTTTTCCTCTCAGGCGGCCAGCCCGCGCGCTCGCCACAGCCCTGCTCCCCTCGGCTTTGGGGCTTTGCCTGAGCACCAGGACCATGGCCCCAAGAAGGCTCCTAACCTCCCCGGGATGAGGTGGGGTTCCCACCATCCTCCGTGGGGATGTGCACCCCGAACCCAGTTTCGCCTGTTTGTCCTCCCTCAATCAGTCTGTAAACCCTCGAGGTTCAGGCACCGCCCTGTCCATCCGTGTAAATGTAAATGTTCGCCGAGTCGGTATTTATTCTAACTTTTATTTTATTTTATTTTCTCTGAGGGATGGGGGTGGGTGTGTGGGAAATGTACCGCTGATCACGCCCCAGGCAGCTGTGGGGGGCGGGCACCCAGCCGGCCAGGTCGCAAGGAGCAGCCCCACGGGGCCGCCCCAGACGCCGCCCCGGACGCCGCGTTCCTGTCTCTTCTCTGGCATCAGGCCCCGGCCAGCATTGCCCTGTGGACGGACTCTCAGGCCTGCCCTGAGTGCTGCCCCCAGTCCTGCCCCTGCGCTCTATGGGACCTCTGCCTGGGCCTCGGGATGCTTGTCGGAGAGAGGACCGCCTCCTCTGCTGGGGCCTGGCGGGAAGGCCTGTGCACCTGGCCGGAGCAGCGGGGCCTGGCTGTGGGGCCTGCCTGCCCGGGGCCGGGGCCGGGGCCGGGGGCTGCCCGCCTGCGCGCAGCAGAATCCTCCTCACGCGACCACTTACCCTCCCTCGGTATGTCCTGCTTTCCAGCTGAACCCAAACTACAAGTGGGTTTAAAAAATAAACACCAAAAAACCCAAAAATGCCCCGAATCTGTGTTCTCTGTGTGTTCGGCGAAGGAAACCCTTCCCAGAGTCATCGGTGGCCTGGGTGGTGCTGGCAGAGACCTCCAGGGGGCCCTGCCCGGGCGACCGGCTGTAAGATTTCCCGCAGTCTGGCCGTCTGGGAGCACGGGGGACGGTCAGGGGCCTGGGGGTGGCCCGGAGGACGCAGCGGCCCAGAGCGGCCCTGAGCCGGAGCTCCGGCCTCACCCAAGGCGCACGGTCAGGCCAGACCTGTGGAGAACAGCATCCTCACTCGCACTCGGGATTTGCCTTGCCGCACGTTTAAGGGGCCCATCCCCCAAACCGACCCCTCCCTAAGGAACACCCCGGCAGGGGCATTTGGCGAGGACTTCATTTAGAAAGACTGAGACTTGAGCCCAGAAGCTTCTAAAAGTCAGCAGCAAGTGGCTGTCCGGTCCCAGTGGGTCAGACCAGTGTTTTAATCAAAGGGACCCAAAGGGGCCCAGTGATTTATTTTCCTGTGATGACATGTCCCTTGTTTTGCACAATGCCTCCCATGGCAAGACACTGGGGACACCGCCTCCTGGTAACAGATGCCCTGCGGGGTTCTCTCTGACTGGAACTTGCCAGTCTTTTAGCTCCTCGGGGCGGCAACAAGCGCGTCCACGACTCCCCGCCCCCTCCTGCATCCCTGACCTGGTCAAGACGGCGGCCAGCCCAGCCCAGGGGCCCGGTGGGGGCGTGTTGAGGTTGGTCACTGACCGCTCCGGAGTCCTGTGAGACTGGGCAGCGACAGCCACAGGTGCACAGATGGGTCGAGGGAGATAAACTCTTCCCTGAACAGTTGAGGCACATGTCAGATCAAAGTTTCTAGAACAACACGGCTTACATATGTGCGAGGTGCACAAGTGGGAAGTGGAGGTCAGCAGGATCGGTGTCTGGAAGTGGGGGACAAGGCGGGCCGACCTCACCCAGCTGTACACAGAAGACAGAGCGGAGCTTTTCCTGGGTGGTTTAGTCCCCATGCCAGAAGCTTCTAAGTTATCAAAGGCCACGAAAAGCATCATCCAAATAATAAAGGTCTCAGTCCTGCATGTCGCCACCATCTCTGCCAATAGGTGTGATCTGTCCTCCTGAGGGAAGGTCTCGTGGAGACCAGGATGTGTGGGAGGGACAGTCTGGGACGAATAAGCTGGGACACATGTGCGACTGGTGCGGCCCCCTCACGTGCCAAGGGAAAGAGCAGGAAAAGAAGGAATTGAGAGGGAATTCCTCACTCTTAGCATCTGTCATCCCTGTGGCTCCCGGGGCGTCACAGCCTTCCATGAACCGTCTCAGGTGGTTCGGCCACATAGGTGGGTATTTCTGATTCCCATTTCACAGATGAGGAAGCTCAGGGAGGTGGCATGAGTGACACAAAGCGAGGGGCCCCTCGGCGGGCGAGCCAGGGGCAGCAGGACATGCGGGCGCCCTCCCCGAGCACAGCCCCAAGGGGCCCTGGTGGCACCAGCCAGATGGAAGGAGTGGCGAGCTGCCCAGCAGGACCAGAGGGGCGTCCGACGTGGTCTCCCCGTGTGTCAGGGCAACGTAGGCTGTGACGAAATCCGGGGATCCGGGTGGGGTGGGGAGAAAGAGCATGTTGCAGAGTTTGGTGCTGTTACGTAAAAGAACCCGCTGTCATAGGTGCCAACTGTCCCCACCTGGATCTCCAGCACCTGCTGGCTCTCAGGGGCATGGGAGGCGAGGGATATCTTCTTAAGGAGGCTTATGAGTGGTGACTTGGTGTCCCAGCTGCCTGGGAACCACTCAAACTACCCACGGCAGGAAGACACCCGCATACACCAACATTGTCAGAATTCCGGCCTTGGGGGGCCCCTCTTCTAATGGGTGGGGACACACGCACTGTGGGCAGTAGGAGAAAAGGGACTTACAGTCGCCATCCATTTAGGCAGGGATGTAGTAGACAGGGAACCACGACGGGCAGCTCCCATCACGCAGGGTTGATGTCTAGGACAGCAGGCGACCATGCTGGTGCCTCACCCCTTCCCCAGGACAAGGATCACCAGCCGCTCGGAGCTGGCGAGAACCACGCCACTTCACGGAACACCCACCTTGGTGCTCATTCTCCCTGTAACCTAAAGAAATCCATATCCTAACAGAATTTTCAATGTGATGGGGGGGAAAAAGGAGGGGTAAGAAATGGCACTCCGCGTCTGTTGGCAGAGACCCGGTGCCCCGAGTAGCAAGGGCGGAGCTGCCCGCTTCCTCCCCCCGAACCACACTCAGCAAACTCTTCATCAGCCGCCAGAGCGGTGAACTGTGTCTGTGAGCATCTGTGCCTTAATCTCCACCAATTTTACGCATCCCTTAACAAGATGTGTCCTGAGGTATCTGAAAAGCTTAGGCGGTGTTGTTCTGGAGGGTCCGGGAACGTTCAGAATGTTCCATATAAATTAATGCCGATCGCTTCTCCACTCTGCCAGGCCGGCTTATGCGAGTTCTCACAGGAACGCTCTACTTCCAAAGAGCAAGGGAAACCCATCTGGGGATTTGCCATCCTAACTGAAAGGCCAACACATTTACCATGGGGGGCAGGGGGCCAGGGAGCAGCTCGAGGGTACATGCAGCAGAAGGTATTCCACGGGCCCAGGGCCATGTTAGGACTTCTGAGGGCCCCAGGCACATAGGGCTCTGTAGACCCTCCTTCAAATACAAGAAAAATGTATTTGATGACTACATGGGTATGAAGACAAATATATTCATGTTACTTATTAAAATCTTTTTTTTCAGCCTAGACATTCATTTCTTAACTGTGATTTTTTTTAAAGATTTTATTTATTTATTTATTTATTTATTTATTTATTTATTTGAGAGGGAGACAAGCAAGGGAGACAGAGAAAGAGTAAGGGGGCAGCGAGCAGAGGGAGAAGCAGACCTCCCGCTGAGCAGGGAGCCTGATGTGGGGTCCCAGGACCCCGGGATCATGACCCGAGCAGAAGGCAGGCACTCAAGTGACTAAGCCACCCAGACGCCCTCTTAATTCTGATCTTAAAAAAAACAAAAATATTCTGCAGGCTCCAGAAGGTATCGTGTGCCCTGGGTACCTCAGCTCTGTGAGGACCACATCCCTGAGGAAGACCCCACCTTTCCCTGATACCTGCTGGCATCAGGCTTAGCAAAGCAGAGGGTGGATAGCGGTGGTCAGCAGAGCAGGGCATCCGAGGTCTCCCAAGGAAGCCGTCGGCCCCTTCTGGGAGCAGATACAGGAGTGCTTCTCCTGCCCCAGCCCAGCTGCCAGGCAGACGGCCCAGAGCGCGTGGCAAGCAGCTGTGTCTGCCTGGCCTGGGACACTGGCCCAGCACGCCCAAGTGGCACCCAGCACTTGATCCTGTCCACACCACATCCACACACATTACCTTGTGATGGGCTCACCAGAGACCCGGGAGGGAGAGAAGTAAAATCCTCCCACCCATTCTACACCAGGGAAAACTGAGGTTTAGAGAAACATCGTGGTCGAAGGGCGCTTTTTGTTTTCAGATACGTGCTCTGCTTTGACACTCACAGCAGCCTGGCCAAGTGACAGACACTTTTGATTCTATTTTAAAGATAGGAGAAATAGGCTCAGCAAAGCAGATGACCAGGTCATGTCACATGACCCATAGGCACAGAGATCACGCCTTGCCTTGCTGCCTTCCTCATCCTCAAGACTGCCGGGGGGTCATGCCTGGGGACCGGGCTGGGGATCCAGATTCCTGACCTCCAGGGCCCACGGCCACCTTTGTGCCCAAGTCCCCTTGTCTTGCCGTGTCCCCTGGGCTCGAATCGCTCCCCCAGCTCCCAGGGACGAGCAAGGGCTCAGGCCAGGGTGTTTGGGTGCAGTGGGGGTGCAGCAGGGCAAGGAGGGCCACAGCCCTCCAAGGTACACAGAGAGAGGTTCATGGCCTGGCCCGTAACCAGGGCCTTCCCATCTGACCGGGGCCAGGCATAGATTGTGCCTTGAGCTTGGCTCAGAGGAAAGGGGGAAATCCTGGCCCTGAGGAGGGGAAGCAACTCCTGAAGCAGGTCAGGACAGGAGAAGGTGCTCAGGGTGGGTGCACCTGTGTGTAGCTACATAAGCAGCAAGCTTGAAATCTCACATGCTCCTAATCAGATGCTCACTGCTCTTCCAATGGGCCTGTGGCTGGACCAGGCTTTGGATGACCCTGGCTGTCTGGCACGGGATCAGGCCCAGGCCCTGGACCAAGGGCAGTGGTTAGAGGTACCCTTGTGCACCTTCCCTTAGTGTTACTGCCTTCAGGAAGTTCTCCCTGACGGACCCTCCCCAGTAGGGCCCCACAGCTTCCAGGGATGCTCCCACCATGGCCCTGCTCACTGTGCACGACCACGGACATGTAGGTGGCCAATGCCCACAGACTGAGCTGACCTCATGCCCTGTGCATCTCCAGCACCCAGCCTGGGTTCCTGGCCCAAGCAGGGGCCAAACAAGCACATGGGGGACAAGTGGGCGAACTGCGACAGTGAGGTCCAGGTAACAAGTGGCCGAGGGGTGGGCAGAGGGAAGAGCTGAGCTACCCAGAGCAGGAGAGGGTGGGGGGACCCCACGTGGCACAAGGACTTCCCGTGGGGAGCCCTGGAGGCAGCCTTGGGGCCCTGAGCTCTAACAGTCCGGAGAGGCCTCAGGTGGGGGTTCTTCTGTGCTTGGGGCCAGAGCCACGGCAAGGACAGCCAGGGCCTGTGTAAATGAGAAGAAGACGCCCTTCCTCCCTCAGGGACTCGGTCCTGGCCAGGCCCCGTGAGCCTCCACAGATGCCCTCAGCGGGACCCTTGTGTGGGACACAACCTGTGCACCGTGTGTGAGGTTTTCTGGGGGTGGGGGTGGGGGTGTGCATGCGGGGGTGTCCACGGGGAGGTGTGCACAGCCAGGGTAGATGCTATGTGTGCATCTGTGCTGCAGTGTCCAAATCCCCAGCCGGTTGGCCTCTGAGCGAGGAGGGTGGGAGGCAGAGGCTTGA